GTGTGTGTGTGTGTGTGTGTGTGTGTGTGTGTGTGCCCCACCCCATTCCCACCGGTAATCAGGGTAGGGGCCGGAAGGCCAGTAGCCAGGGGGCACTGGGCCTTCCGGCCCAACACCCCCCGGTCACCACACATCACTCGCACAGACCCACAGACACATATAGTTAGCTCATTTGAAATCTCACAATTAGTAGGCTCCTAACCTGTTCGTCATTAGTCCTGCTTGGTTGGTACAGGTGCTGATTGCTGAAGACTTTTTCAACTATTTTCCAGCATTCCTTTTTTCCGAAGCCGTTGGCAGCCATGGTCTGAACCAACGTATAGATTTCAAAAGCAGCCTCTTGCTCGTCGGAACAGAGCAGGAGGGCTCAAACTGTCTGTGCAGTCAAGATCTGTAAAGATTGTGCAATACTGCGGTTAGACTTAAACTTCATGAATCTGACTGGGGGAAAGCTCAACCCTTTCTTCTTGTCGTGCTTTGAAGTGGCATATGAGCCGCTCATCGTCGATATGATCGAGAGGAAAACATTCAGAAAGCTAGCTACAATGCCCTGCCCGTCTTCTTTTACCTGCATGGTTTCCTTTACCTCGATGAATCCGTGCGGGTAAATTTTGCGGGTAGCGTCCTGCCCAGGCACTCCGTTGTTTAGGAAACCGGAAATGAGTGTGTTGTTTAGAGCACACAGGTCATCGATGTATCTGTTCGTTTCTTTGAAACATTTAAGTGCCTGCCAGTCCTGCTCATCAGCTAGGTGAGAAATCAGCTGGAATTCATATTTAAAAAAATAGATATCACACAGAATGGGAAAACAAGCCAGTCCCATCGTGATACCCAGTACTTGCCGCCAGACTCTGTCCCCCAGCTGTACCACCCCATTAGACACAAGCCATTCGCACGCTTTCACAATCCCGTCCTCGTCAAAATAGAGTCGCTCGCGATCCCTGCACTGTGCGCTGTCCACCCAGTATGGGTGCAGCGAGTCGTTGGCCGCAACCATGATAGCGATGACATCCTTCGTGGTTCTGGCCCTCCTCCACTCCATGGCACATTGTACGAAGAACCTGATTGCGGAGATAAGGCCATCCTGGGAGCCGTCTGTCGGTATGGTCTCGAAGCATCTGGTTATGTCCCCTGTGAAGACCGAGTATACGTGACGTGGCAGATTGGCCATGAACTCACCGACAGACACGATCGGCCACCAAAAGTTTGGTCTGACACCTCGCTCTTCGAAGATCGCGTCACTCTTACTGGCACACAGGGCCTGTACATCAAGTGACAGGAGCTTCAGCAGGCACGCGCACACATCCGCAACACCCGAGAGCACATTCCCGACAGTATTGGTGATCCACCTGAATGTCTCCTTATGCGCCTTGTATACCACCATGAGATGCGGTAGTGGCATCTTGTCAGTTGCCGCCCCAATGGGCGCAATCGCATTGGCTTCCTCCTTCAGTCTGGCAGCAACAACGGATGTCTGCCCGGGAAGTTGTCCGAAGTCCAGTCCGGAGACCCGAGCGAGTGCCAGCTTTCTGATAAAGTTCACGCATACGAAGGTTGGCGTATGCGGGGCTTTGTCAGTCGGGCAGACCAGAAATCTCTTCGTCGGCCATTCGACTTCGCTTCTGACCGCAATGCTGTTGAAAGGCTCCTCCACAATATGCCTATGACTGATACGGTACTCCCTCATGCGCTTCTCTGCGTCCCTCATCACCACCTTCTTAACCTCCCTCTCCTCTTCCATAGATAACTCCATATCGCATCTGCTGGTTGCCAGGATGTTGTCCACAATGAGCTCCACTTCCTCCAGCACAACACTCTCGTCCAACGCCTTCATAGGAATATGATTGAGGCCTGCGTTGACCATCAACTGCAGCTGCCCATTAATGGTGATGCCCGTGTCTGCGGTGATGACATGTAGGCATCCTTCTGTTGGTAGAACCTGATCGCGGCAGGGTTGAGAAATTCCGCATGCCTCCCTACACCGCATAGGCAGCACTCAGGTAGGTAACTCGGCTCCAATTCCGAGAACTTGAATTTCTTGAAGACCTGTCCCGGCTTGCAGAGTTTGGCCCCTATTGCGTCACCATACCGCCAACCGATCACTACGTGGTCCAGCCAACTCGCAGACCTGTCCCCCACGACCGCCTTGAGACAATTGAGCACCAATCTTCTGAAAGGGATCGCCTCCATGAGCCTGCTCATGTAGCCCACGTGGACGTACTCTTTCTTTTCTGGTCTGCTCCTTCTCCATGCACTCCTGCTAGATGGAAGAGTGACCATGCAGCCCCCTTCACTTGGATCAAATCGTTCGTCCTGCGCATTGCACGATACTAACGTCTGAGGAAACACCGACGAAATGGTGAGTGGAGTAATCGGGGATAAATCAAAACACAGCCAACAAAAAAATACGACCTGAAATCCTACAAAAAAAGAAGAATACCCGCGCGCGATCTTCAGGTGCCCTTCAGGCCATTTCGCTTGGGTAAGTGCCGAATGCTTGTCTCCCTAATCAGGGAGATTCGATGACGCCTTTCCTGCACTTGCCGCTCCCGGATGCTTTTGTGGTTGATTTGAGCGAGTCAGCGGTGGAGATGGTTGAGCTGCCTTGAGAGGGGATATGCGTCGGCCCACCTCCACCCTGTGTGTTGTTACCCTGGCTATGGATGACCTTACCGTGTTGCCCGGCTTGTGTCGTACTTCGCTCCCTCGCCCGGTTTTGCGCGACCTTCCTGTTTTGTACCACAGGCGAGGGATCGCGAGGTGCAATCTCTTCCTGTCGTGCGCGTGGCTGGGGATCGTGCGGCGGGTTCATCGCTTGCGCCTCATTCCTTCTCGGATTGGGTTCAAAGGGAAGAACCTTCTACCTAGGCGAGATGACCAGAGGGACGTTGTTCCTCTGTCTCTTGTTCTGGTTGGCGAGGGGGTTGGGGGAGACTCTCGTCCGTCCCTTGGGATTCCCGGTGATTCGTGTGGGTAGGAGCACCCTGCCGATCAAGAGTGGGGTGTTATACTTCCACTTGGACTTATCCACGACAGATTCTGATGTGAGCGTTGGGCCTTTTTCGAGTGCACGAATGACATCTTTCATGGTTTCCCGGATGAACATGAACATGACGCAAGCTTCCACTGCTGGTTTCCAGGATACGCGCAAGAAGTGGATGAACATCGAGATTCTTACCTTTGCAGACGCCACGTTGGGGAAGAGGATGTCCGGGTGGGCGAGAAGGTACCATATGGCGTGGTCCATCCAGATCGGTCCATTACCGCAGTCCTTCTTTCTCTTCGTGGCACACTGGCATCTGAGGTAGGGACGCCCAACGTTCCAGCACTTCCTCAGGCTTTTAAGGTCTACCTCGGGGGCAGTCCTGATCTTTTTTTGGCACATGATAGGGTTAGTCTGTTCGCACTTCTTGTGATCTAGCGCCGATAAAACAGGGAATTGCAGTAGTGTAGGTTTGAAAAAGGGTTTGCCTGGTGGGCAATATGGTAATTCCTCGGTCATGGCATTCGCCTTGCAGTTCGCTACTTCTTCCGTTGTGAGGCCTGCGAGGAAGACGAGCGCGTTGAGCAAAAACGGAGCAAGGTAGTTGAAGGTATCCAATTTCCAGAGTTGGTGCTGGAATCCTAGCCCTATGTGCTCAACCCAGTGTAGCGAAGGCAGTGGCGCAAAGGCAGTGAACAACGTGCCATGGGTGGGGGCAGCGTTAGGAGGGGTGCTGCTAGCGCATGTAGTGATCTCATGGATGGCGACTCTCATTTCTTCCATTTCGTCGATTTCCATGGCGAGAGCACCGTTGACGACGCACTCAGCCTACGGTTTTTCGGCAGCCTGCCCTTGTAGCTGCGAGTGGTCCAACCCCCAGATCTTCAGGAATAGCCGTTCCACATTAGCCGTTCTGGTGGGAAGCTCTACACATTCCCTACCATATTCTATCTTCCTTACTTCCAGATGTCTGGCTAATGCTAACAGTTTGGCATCAAAGGCATCTCTCCCTTCGTCCCACGATGCGGCGAGATTGGCGAGATCGCTAAAACCTATCATGCTGAAAAAACTCGGATAGCGCTCGGTTCCCATCAATGTTTTCATTGCATCCAGGATCTCAGGCTTCATGGTGGCAAGGAGCGCCTGCGCCTCTCTGCTGAGTACTTGAAAACCTCTCATTTTCTCGATGGGTAGTGTCGCAGCTTTTCCAATTATTTTTTTAAATCATTTTTTTCAAATCTTTTTGGCTATACCATAATAAAGCAGGTACGGATGCATCAAATTGGGCCACCATCAGCCAGGGCCAGACAATAAGAACCCCAACATGGAACGTAGGACTGATGCGATGGCAGGAGGGACGCAACGGATGTAAAGGCGAAGAGGTAGCAGATGTTACCAATAATAAAATAATAACAATAAAAAATTAAAAGATAAATAGAAGAATAAATGGAAGAAATTGGGAAAATAGGAATAGTAAGGAGGCTGTTGTTTGCGTATTTTGTTGCCTTGTGCTTCGTTTTTTCCGCTCGCTTGTTCCGTTTTGCTTTTTTTTTTTTTTTTTTTTTTTTTTTTTTTCCGATTTTCAAGCTCTCGTCGTTTCGTGACGTTTCGCGCACGTGGACACGATACTGCATCACTCCCCACCTAGTCAGTCTTTTCGAATGGCGGGGTCCTTTCCGCATTCTCGTAAGTTGGACGGTTGGCGCCAATTTACAAAATACGATACCATCGAACTCCGATCATGACGAACTTTCAGGCGGTATTTTAGGACAAGCGCTACGTCTTTTTCCCATCATGAGTTCAGCCTACGAGCTCGGATTAGCCTAGAGGGGAAGGAAGCCTAGGCTGGTTGGCTCGTGGGCGTCCAGTTTGAGTAAGTGCTCGGGTGGAGTGCCTGCATCGACGTGCCAGCGGAGGTAACGCATCGGAGGCCATGGATTACGAGGTCGATCCAGCTATGGTGGACCAGCTCATCGGCAATGCTGAAAACGCGGTATAAGACCTTGGCCTTGCTTTCCTATACCGCGCTCGTGCTCGCAGTCTCTTCCTCCCCCTATTTATTGCCAAGCATCGCTGCGCATACTCCGCCTATCTGCGCGCCAAAAGCATGATTGCCTTTCTCTTCATCGCGTGGAACGCGCTCTGCTGGGTTCTCTGCAAGGCGCTTGCGTTTGGCAGCATGGCGCTAGAAAAGGAGGAAGTTATGGATAGGGCAGGGATTGCCATTGAAGTCTCTGCTTACGTGCTTCTTGCTTTTGTGGCGCTGCTCGCATTTCTCGCCTTTCTCTTCTTCCTGCACCATCTCCAGTTTAGCCCTCCAGCTCCCTCGCTGCCTCTTCCCAAGCGTCTGTAAGAAAAGCAGGTGTTCTCCCTCTGATGAAGCCGTACGATGGTGGCTAGCGACAGAAAAGCAGTTCAGGGATCGCCACTACCCTCCCTGCTTGGGTTGTCGAGGCTAGAGTTTCAGATTACGAGGAACTGCCTCTGGGAATGCAGCCCAGCTCTTCATCCTATTTTCTTTGCATCTTGTGCTCTGCTACGCGCTGCATGGATCGTGGATGTGACTCGGTGGCACTTCAGTTCGAATGGCGTAATAAGGAAGTTTTTTGTCCATAATTTTGAATTTCTATCGTGTGTATTGAGTACGGGTTCTTTTTTCTTTTTTCTTGTTTTCTTGTTTTCATTTTTCTTTTTCTTTTTTCTTTTCTCTTTTTTCCATATGTGGTTTGTGCACTCCATCCGATCCCTTTTGTTCCCGCATGCGTGATAAGTTCTCCTTCTTTTGAAAGAATCTCTCGAACCTTTGCCATTTTCTGCTTTTTTTTTTTCTTCTTTCTTTTTCCTTTTCCTTTTCGGATCTTCCTCACTATTCGTCGATTGAGACATCCTCTCTCCTTTTTCCTCTTTTTTCGTTAAAAGTCTTTTATGGTGACTGTTTGGGGATGTAATCATGATAAAGGAAATGTGCGATTACTGGAAAAATGTGCTTGTTGTCTCTGCATCCAGTTTTTCCATGATAAGACTTCATCCTTTGTTAGCATTCCAGCACAACCTTTTTTGCGTAAGAAATTGTTCCTTTCACGTATTGCGCACCTTGCCTCACTCTCGGATGGTGTGGGTTTTTATCTCAAGTCATTATGGTTGCATGATGATCGGGTTGCTTGCTGCAATCGTTTGGGTATGATGCACGCAATTAATAGGATACATTCAGACTACTTGCGAGCCTAAAGCGTATATGGATCCCGGCTGTAGAAGCACGACCACCGGACTTTTTTCCGGGGACTTGCTGCTTGCGATCGGTGCACGTATAGGTCGTTAAGATGGCTGTTGTAAACCATTCTGAGATTATGTAGGCAAGGATACAGCCTGGATTTGATCTTGATATTGTATTGTGATTGATTATCTAATTATGAGATTCATAAACGAAGAAGCTTTTACGCCCACTTTCACACCACAGTCCGAAAAGATAAAACCCCACATGCGTATCTTGGTGATGCCTCTGGAGGAGGAGTTGTGGCTTGGTAAAAAGTCCCGTGTCCGCCTGACAAGCTAATGGAGTTGTGCCGATGCAGTATTTCGGAGCTTATTCACGATGCGGTTTCCGTATCGTTTCTCCACTTGTTGTCTTGGCTAACTTAAAACACACTTTTACGTGGGGGGGATCCCCCCGTCAGCGTTGTTGGTGGTGTGTCCCATCAACCACACCCCCGTGATTTATCCACGCTGGGATGACATGAGGTATTGCCTATAGCTCCGTATACGAGGATGGATAACGGAGGCAGATACGAAGTGGGTGGCGTTCGGTTGGTGTAATACTAAGATCGAACTGAGGTAAGCTTGTTTACGCATCCTGCGATCCGGACCCCCCTTCCCTCGCGGGTACTATATGCTTTATGTGTTTTGTGTTGTGCAGGTCCCATCGGTGGAATTCTTCCCTGGAGGATGGTGGGAAGAAATCACGAGCAAGCATGCATAACTCGCAAAGCATGCATGGCCCAACAAAAACAAGAATCGCGATAAGCATGGCACAAAAGGGGAGACAAATCCGCGGATCCGCTGCCCGATCAGACGAAAGCCTTTCGGCCCA